GTTGTAGTTTTTAGTTTAGCTGTAGTTGTAGTTTTAGCTGTAGTTGTAGTTTTAGTTGTAGATGTAGTTTTAGCTGTAGTTGTAGTTTTAGATGTAGTTGTAGTTTTAGCTGTAGTTTTAGTTTTAGCTGTAGTTTTAGCTGTAGCTGTAGTTTTAGCTGTAGTTGTAGTTTTGGCTGTAGTTTTAGCTGTAGTTTTAGTTGTAGATGTAGTTTTAGCTGTAGTTGTAGTTTTAGCTGTAGTTTTAGTTGTAGATGTAGTTTTAGCTGTAGTTTTAGTTTTAGCTGTAGTTTTAGCTGTAGTTGTAGTTTTAGTTTTAGCTGTAGTTTTAGCTGTAGCTGTAGTTTTAGCTGTAGTTTGTAGTTTTAGCTGTAGTGTAGTTTTAGTTAGTTAGCTGTAGTTTTAGCTGTAGATGTAGTTTTAGCTGTAGTTGTAGTTTTAGCTGTAGTTGTAGTTTTAGCTGTAGTTGTAGTTTTAGCTGTAGTTGTAGTTTTAACTGTAGCATTAGCATTAGCTGTACGGCTGTGTGTTGGTGGTGGATACGAGAAAACACGATGACGTCACGTCCGGGGCGGCAGCCATCTTGGGTCTGTATCCACAAGTCAACATCAACATCCTCAACAGTTGTCCACAAAGTAACGTTTTTCATTCAGTGACTTAGAGTAAAATGAGGAAGTCAGGTCAAAACTATTAAATACAAACTTCAAAATAAGACAAGTTTTCTCATGACGAACGCAACACACCTGTCGACACAAACGAGTGACACCACTCACTTTTTACCAACAGCCACCGAGCACGAGCGGAAGAAACCAATGTAAACAAAAGAGTTTTCATGTATGTAGTCATTTTTAATGTAGTTTTAGCTTTTAGCTGTAGTTTTAGCTGTTAGCTGTTAGTTGTAGTTTTAGCTTTTAGTTGTAGTTGTAGTTGTATGTGTAGTTGTAGTTGTAATTGTAGTTGTAGTTGTATGTGTAGTTGTAGTTGTATGTGTAGTTGTAGTTGTATGTGTAGTTGTAGTTGTATGTGTAGTTGTATGTGTAGTTGTAGTTTGTAGTGGTATGTGTAGTGTGTGTAGTTGTATGTGTAGTTGTGTGTAGTTGTAGTTGTATGTGTAGTTGTAGTTGTATGTGTAGTTGTAGTTGTATGTGTAGTTGTAGTTTTATTGTAGTTGTATGTGTAGTTGTGTGTAGTTGTATGTGTAGTTGTGTGTAGTTGTAGTGTATGTGTATGTGTAGTTGTATGTGTAGTTGTAGTTTTATTGTAGTTGTATGTGTAGTTGTGTGTAGTTGTATGTGTAGTTTCATCTCAGTGTGTCTCTGTTGAGTCTGAGCTCAGACTTTGGCTCTGACAGTTCCAGTGTGAGAAGAGACATCGACAGGAGCTATAGATCTGTGTGTCAGAGCGCCCCCTGGAGCCCTAATGCACACACACACACACACACACACACTCACGTGCACACACACACTCACGTGCACACACACACTCACGTGCACACACAGAGTCTGCGTCGGCACTTTGTAAAGGTCACCCCCCCACACACCCCCATCTCTCTATCTCTGTCCTCTCCTCCCCCTAACCCCCCCCCTCTTCTTCCCCCTCTGTCATTCTCTCTTTCTCCCTCCCTCTGCTCCTCTCTCCCTCTCTCCCTCTGCTCCCTCTCTCCCTCTGCTCCCTCTCTCTTTCACTCCGTCTCTCTCTGTCCCTCCTCCTCCTCCTCCTCCTCCTCCTCTTCCTCCTCTTCTCTGCTCGTCCATGTCTCCACTCAAACTAATGAGTCCAGCGCTCCAGTCACTTACAGACACTCAGAGAGGAGCTGCGTCAGGACTTTAGTGTCCTCGCAAAGACCTGGGACAGACCTGGGACAGACCTGGGACGGTCCTGGGACGGTCCTGGTTTAATCCTGAGACAGACCTGTGAGAGTCCTGGGATACTCATGGGACAGACCTGGGACAGACCTGGGATAGTCCCGGGATAGTCCTGGTTCAATCCTGGGATGGTCCTGGGACAGACCTGGGACCTACCTGGGATAGTCCTGGTTTAATCCTGGGACAGTTCTGATTTAGGCCTGGTTCAGACCTGGGACTGTCCTGGTTGAGTCCTGGTTCAGTTCTGGTTCTAGAGTCGGTATCTTGGTACCAATTTTTGTGTTAAAATTGAGTGTTATTGAGTTGTTGAAGTTGAACTGTGAGAGCAGCGTGGCATTATGGGTAGTGTAGTTTCAGGAGTGTGGTGTTGTGGGTAGTGTAGTTTTAGGAGTGTGGTGTTGTGGGTAGTGTAGTTTTATTAGTGTGGTGTTGTGGGTAGTGTAGTTTTATTAGTGTGGTGTTGTGGGTAGTGTAGTTTTATTAGTGTGGTGTTGTGGGTAGTGTAGTTTTATTAGTGTGGTGTTGTGGGTAGTGTAGTTTTAGGAGCGTGGTGTTGTGGGTAGTGTAGTTTTAGGAGCTGTGGTGTTGTGGGTAGTGTAGTTTTATTAGTGTGGTGTTGTGGGTAGTGTAGTTTTATTAGTGTGGTGTTGTGGGTAGTGTAGTTTTATTAGTGTGGTGTTGTGGGTAGTGTAGTTTTAGGAGTGTGGTGTTGTGGGTAGTGTAGTTTTTAGGAGTGTGGTGTTGTGGGTAGTGTAGTTTTAGGAGTTTGTGGTGTTGTGGGTAGTGTAGTTTATTAGTGTGGTGTTGTGGTAGTGTAGTTTTATTAGTGTGGTTGTTGTGGGTAGTGTAGTGGTTTATTAGTGTGGTGTTGTGGGTAGTGTAGTTTTATTAGTGTGGTGTTGTGGGTAGTGTAGTTTTTTAGTGTAGTGTGGTGTTGTGGGGTAGTGTAGTTTTATTAGTGTGGTGTTGTGGGTAGTGTAGTTTTATTAGTGTGGTGTTGTGGGTAGTGTAGTGTGTAGTGTAGTTAGTGTGGTGTTGTGGGTAGTGTAGTTTTATTAGTGTGGTGTTGTGGGTAGTGTAGTTTTTTAGTGTGGTGTTGTGGGTAGTGTAGTTTTAGGTAGTGTGGTGTTGTGGGTAGTGTAGTTTTATTAGTGTGGTGTTGTGGGTAGTGTAGTTTTATTAGTGTGGTGTTGTGGGTAGTGTAGTTTCAGGAGCGTGGTGTTGTGGGTAGTGTAGTTTTAGGAGTGTGGTGTTGTGGGTAGTGTAGTTTTATTAGTGTGGTGTTGTGGGTAGTGTAGTTTTAGGAGTGTGGTGTTGTGGGTAGTGTAGTTTTATTAGTGTGGTGTTGTGGGTAGTGTAGTTTCAGGAGTGTGGTGTTGTGGGTAGTGTAGTTTTAGGAGTGTGGTGTTGTGGGTAGTGTAGTTTTATTAGTGTGGTGTTGTGGGTAGTGTAGTTTTTAGGTAGTGTGGTGTTGTGGGTAGTGTAGTTTTATTAGTGTGGTGTTGTGGGTAGTGTAGTTTTATTAGGAGTGGTGTTGTGGGTAGTGTAGTTTTATTTAGTGTGGTGTTGTGGGTAGTGTAGTTTTATTAGTGTGGTGTTGTGGGTAGTGTAGTTTTAGGAGTGTGGTGTTGTGGGTAGTGTAGTAGTTTTAGGTAGTGTGTGGTGTTGTGGGTAGTGTAGTTTCAGGAGTGTGGTGTTGTGGGTAGTGTAGTTTTATTAGTGTGGTGTTGTGGGTAGTGTAGTTTTATTAGTGTGGTGTTGTGGGTAGGTAGTAGTGTTTTAGGAGTGTGGTGTTGTGGTAGTGTAGTTTTATTAGTGTGGTGTTGTGGGTAGTGTAGTTTTATTAGTGTGGTGTTGTGGGTAGTGTAGTTTTAGGAGCGTGGTGTTGTGGGTAGTGTGTAGTTTTAGGAGCGTGGTGTTGTGGGTAGTGGTAGTGTAGTTTTATTAGTGTGGTGTTGTGTGGGTAGTGTAGTTTTTAGTGTGGTGTTGTGGTAGTGTAGTTTAGTGTGGTGTTGTGGGTAGTGTAGTTTTATTAGTGTGGTGTTGTGGGTAGTGTAGTTTTATTAGTGTGGTGTTGTGGGTAGTGTAGTGTTTTAGGAGTGTGGTGTTGTGGGTAGTGTAGTTTTAGGAGTGTGGGTGTTGTGGGTAGTGTAGTTTATTTAGTGTGTGTTGTGGGTAGTGTAGTTTAGGAGTGTGTAGTGGTAGTTAGTGTAGTATAGTGTGGTGTTGTGGGTAGTGTAGTTTTATTAGTGTGGTGTTGTGGGTAGTGTAGTGTTTTAGTGTATTTAGTGTGGTGTTGTGGGTAGTGTAGTTTTAGTTAGTGTGGTGTTGTGGGTAGTGTGTAGTTTTATTAGTGTGGTGTTGTGGGTAGTGTAGTTTTAGGTAGTGTGGTGTTGTGGGTAGTGTAGTTTTAGGTAGTTGTGGTGTTGTGGTAGTGTAGTTTTATTAGTGTGGTGTTGTGGGTAGTGTAGTTTTAGGTAGTGTGGTGTTGTGGGTAGTGTAGTTTCAGGAGTGTGGTGTGTGGGTAGTGTAGTTTTAGGAGTGTGGTGTGTGTTGTGGGTAGTGTAGTTTTATTAGTAGCGTGGTGTTGTGGGTAGTGTAGTTTAGGTAGTAGTGTGGTGTTGTGGGTAGTGTAGTTTTATTAGTGTGGTGTTGTTGTGGGTAGTGTAGTTTTATTAGTGTGGTGTTGTGGGTAGTGTAGTTTTAGGAGTGTGGTGTTGTGGGTAGTGTAGTTTTATTAGTGTGGTGTTGTGGGTAGTGTAGTTTTAGGAGCGTGGTGTTGTGGGTAGTGTAGTTTTATTAGTGTGGTGTTGTGGGTAGTGTAGTTTTAGGAGTGGTGTTGTGGGTAGTGTAGTTTTAGTGGTTAGTGTGTAGTAGTGTGTGTTTGTGTGGTAGTGTAGTTTATTAGTGTGGTGTTGTGGTAGTGTAGTTTTATTAGTGTGGTGTTGTGGGGTAGTGTAGTTTTATTAGTGTGTGTTTGTGGGTAGTGTAGTTTATTAGAGTGTGGTGTTGTGGGTAGTGTAGTTTTATTAGTGTGGTGTTGTGGGTAGTGTAGTTTTATTAGTGTGGTGTTGTGGGTAGTGTAGTTTTATTAGCGTGGGATCATGGGTAATGTAGTGTTTAGCTGGAGACTTACTCTGTGAAACGCGCACGAGTTCAGCCACCGTGAAAACTCCAGGAGTCACAAAACTGTCCTGGAAGCCCAGATGCCCTGCAGACACACACACACACACCTGTTATTACATGTGTTATTACATTATTGCATTATTACAAGTCTTATTTAAACTCAACTAAAGTCTCAGGGTCGTCCAAAGTATCGAAAATCTAAAACTTCTAAACAATACTAAAACTACAAAACTGAATGTGTTTAGAACAGACTTTTTTCACATCGGCTGGAAGTGTCCCGCTGTAGTTTTGTGGTTTTCTGTGTTAAAATGTGTGTGTAAATGTGTGTAAATGTGTGTGTAAATGTGTGTGTAAATGTGTGTGTAAATGTGTCATATTCTCCAGCAGCTTCATAAATCTGCCCCATCAAAGAAAGACCAAAACTTAGGTAAATGTTTCACTTCCAGGTCAGGGAAACGGGAAAAGGCCGTTATCTGTTTTTTTTTTTTTTTTTCCATTTTTCATTTAAACACAAAATTGAAAAACTGAAAAACGAATAATTATCTATTTGTTCATTTTGGTTTTGGAGACAAATAATGAAGAAAATCATTGTTTTTTCATTTTCTTATTTTTGGTTTTATTTTGAAAAACCAATGAATGTTTTATTCCTGATCGTAACATTAGTTTTGCTCAATAGTTCGAGGTCAGACCTATGTTCCCTTATTCCTAAGATTTTTCTCAAAATTAAACTCCCAAGTCAAGTCATTTTTTATTTTTATACCACATTTAAAGGGATGATTCAGAGTCATTTCACCTGCTGCTGGAGAACAGGTCGGGTGTAATCTGACAACCAAATTGGGAGAAATTTGGATAAAATCTGATGCAAACTGATGATAAAGGAAATGTGGGAACAAAAGGCCTAATTTTAGGGGGAAAAAACCCCAAAACATAAACAGGCTCTCAGTGTGTGACTAGTGTGGCTCGTTGTTTCTTTTAAATTTTGTTCTTTCTTCTCTTGATCGTTGTGGATAAATGGTTCATGAAGAATGTTTCTCCTTTGTGGAGTTTGTTGGTTGAAGATTTGATGATGGAGCAAATTTATGAAGCTGCTGGAGAATACGACACACATTTACACACACATTTACACACACATTTACACACAAATTTACACACACATTTACACAGAAAAACATGAACCAGAAGTTCCACAAACCTCCAGCGGGACACTTCAGCCGATGTGAAAAAGTTCTGTTGTGTAAAGACTGAGTGTTTTATTTTCTTGGTGGGATCAGAGTTTTCACTGAGAATCGAGTTTGTTCCTCAGAACTACTGATGGGCATGAGTAGTTGATTAATCGATAATTGATCATTAAGAATTTGATTGATTCCGTTGATTTTAATGGACAAACTGAATGTATGTTTGTGTGTGTCGTGACCAAACAGGTGTGTACATGTGTCTCTGCATCAGAAGGAGCGAGACACAAACAGTGGGTCAGTCTGTAACGAACCGAAGCACAAATGTGGATTTAACCAGGATTTGTAGAAGAAATTCCACACTTTCCGTTGCGTTGGGACAAGTGTGAGTCCATGTGCACAGTGGATAAAGCAGCACATATGTTTCTGTGTCCAGTGGGAAAAAGTTTTTCCAGGTGAGAGTCGCTCAATGTGGATGACGAGGCCCCGCCCCCCTCCCCCCGTACGCTGTCCTGGTTTTGACAAACACAAATCTGGTCACACTGACCTGTATTCACCTGAGTCATGTCTTTTAATCCAACACAAGTTGAACCACATCAGCGACACAAGAGCTGGAGTTTTATCTTCACTTAGTTTATGTAAATTAGTGATGTGGTTTTAAGTTTTGTTTCTGTGAGATTTGAACAAAACTGAATTAAACACATTATAATGTCAAACAGCTGATGTGGATCTAGAGTCGTTATGTTTACATGTCGTAAAGTTGAATTTATTGATGCAGATTAGTGCAGATAGTAATAATAATGATGATCATTTTAATATAAAAACGTTCATGATTAATCGATAATCGATCGTTAATTCTTCCAACGATCGATTAAGAAAATTTCATCGAATGCCCGTCACTACTCAGAATCATAATAGAGTTTGAGATGTTTGTTTGTTTGTTTGTTTGTGGACATCACTAAGTTGAACTAAACCAAACAGAGAGACTGACCGTTCTCCGGCTGCTCCTTCACGTCGCCGTCGCTGCCCTGGGTCGGACTCTCCGATTGGGCCTCTGCGAAAACAAGAACAAACATCAGGACCACATCTGGACCAAAGGGGAGACGTTAACTGACCACATCTGGACCAAAGGGGAGAGTTTAACTGACCACATCTGGACTAAAGGGGAGAGTTTAACTGACCACATCTGGACTAAAGAGGAGAGTTTAACTGACCACATCTGGACTAAAGGGGAGAGTTTAACTGACCACATCTGGACCAAAGAGGAGAGTTTAACTGACCACATCTGGACTAAAGGGGAGAGTTTAACTGACCACATCTGGACCAAAGGGGAGAGTTTAACTGACCACATCTGGACTAAAGGGGAGAGTTTAACTGACCACATCTGGACTAAAGGGGAGAGTTTAACTGACCACATCTGGACTAAAGGGGAGAGTTTAACTGACCACATCTGGACTAAAGCAAAGACTCAGGACAATTTTATACATAAATTCATATTTTGTTGGTGCATTTCTTGCGCAAAGTTCATCAAAACAACGAAAATGTGTCGCAAATGTTTCCTTCCTCTGAACAAACAACAAAACTGTAGCTGGAACAAAATAATTTAGCAAAATAAATAAAAAAATAATATTTTTGCACAGCCCTGTCGCTCAGAGTGTCTGGGTTACACGTGTCAGGAGCAGTGGGATCAGCTCTTGTTCAGGACCACAGACGGTAACAGACGTGGACTAACAGAGTCAGACGTCACTCACAGCGTCCAGCACCAAATGAAGCTCAGTGAGGCCAGCGGTGACGCGGTTAATCTGGAGCCAAGATTAATATTAAGAACAGGACGGACAGGATCATGTAAAGCGAGTTAATAGGAACATTTAAAGACCAAAGTGCCAAGACTCACAGCAGCAGGAACACAGAGAAGAGCCACAATATTCTAATGGGAGTCAATGGGCCAGAGTAGAGTCCTGCACAGGTCCTTTTTTTGGAGACCCACACCCGCCCGGACCCTCACAGTCCAGCACCACACCCGCCCGGACCCTCACAGTCCAGCACCACACCCACCCGGACCCTCACAGTCCAGACCCTCCAGTCCAGCACCCCACAGTCCAGCACCCACCGGACCCTCACAGTCCAGCACCCACCCGGACCCTCACAGTCCAGCACCACAGACCCTCACAGTCCAGCACCACCCGGACCACACCCACCCAGACCCTCACAGTCCAGCACCACACCGCCCGGACCCTCACAGTCCAGCACCACACCCGCCCGGACCCTCACAGTCCAGCACCACACCCGCCCGGACCCTCACAGTCCAGCACCACACCCGCCCGGACCCTCACAGTCCAGCACCACACCCGCCCGGACCCTCACAGTCCAGCACCACACCCACCCGGACCCTCACAGTCCAGCACCACACCCACCCGGACCCTCACAGTCCAGCACCACACCCGCCCGTGAACCTGTGATTGTATCAAAGTTAAACCCACACCAGCCCAGACCTGTGAACATTCCACTCGTTACCCGCCCGTGTCCGAGATAAATCACACACACAGATGAAAAACATTCTAACTGAAGCGTCCATCAGAATATGACGACTTGAAGAATTACAATCACGAAATGAAATAAAACGGTTTCACTTTCTTCATTACAACACAAATTCACAGACACGACCCAGGACTAACCCAGGACTAATTCCAGGACTGATTCCAGGACTGAACCAGGACTAAACCAGAACTGGACCAGGACTCACTGTTGGGACGGGCCCGGAGGTGCGCCCGTGTAGACCGTTGGGTGACCGCAGGCGAAAGGACCGGCTCAGAGCTTCACACCAAACAGAGGTCAGCTCATCCGTCGCCAAATCGCACTTTGCGGACACTCTGCTCCACTGACTCAGGGTTCTCTCTCTTAAGTCCAAGATTAGTCCTGGTTTAGTTCTTGTTTAGTCCTGACCCGCCCGCAGACCCACTTGTAAAATTCCAGAAAACCCGCCCATTTCAGCGACTATTTGCCCAAACCTGTCGAGTACCCAACGTCTACAGGCAAAAAATAATGTATTAATATGTTTTAAATGTTTCAGTTTCGGTTTTGATGCTTTGAGTCTGAGTCTCTCCTCCCTTTTGCTCTTTACACTAAGTCACTCCCCCTTCAGAGCACTATCACACACACTCGTTGTGCGTCACACTAATGAAACTCCTGCAGGTCACTTCAGGTTTGTCCAGTCGCTGTGTTCAGTTTTGTGTCATGTTTTTTTTTGTGTGCTTATGGAGAGTTGTTGTGCGGGAGCATGTGGGCGGAGCCTCGTACAGACTCGTACTGCAGACCGTGAGGAGGATGTGAACAGTGTCCGGGAGGTTTTTAGCTGACTCAGACCTGCTCGGGCGACTCTAAAACCTCATCAGGACACGTGAGGAAGCTCCAGAAAAGCAGATCCTCCTAAAAGTAGATAATCCTCCCTCTCTGTAAAGTGTGGAAACTCTAAACGCTGTTTCACACTCGCGGAGTCAGAATATAAAGAGTGGAGCCAATCAAACAGAACACTAACAGTTTAAAGAGGACAGATGAACTACAGGACGAGGCTGCGGCTGTTTCCTTCACTCAACGTTTGTTTGTCTCATTAAAAACAAATAAAACAAATAAAACGACTTTCAGCGTTTATTTCCTCAAACACTTTAATCAGAACATTTAACACTAACGAGAGTCAATTTACTCCTCCAGACCACACAGATACACACACAACTCCCACTGTAGTTTGTCTGTGGTTTGTAGTTTGTCTGGAGTTTGTAGTTTGTCTGTGGTTTGTAGTTTGTCTGGAGTTTGTAGTTTGTGTGTGGTTTGTCTGTAGTTTAGTTGTAGGTTGTCTGTTGTTTGGTCGTAGTTTATCTGTAGAGGTTTGGTTTGTCTGTAGTGTTTCTGTAGTTTGGTTGTAGTTTGTAGTTTGTCTGTAGTTTGTCTGTAGCTTGTCAGTATTCAGTTGTAGTTTGGATATAAAGGTTTGTCTATAGTTTGGTTGTAGTTTTTCTACAGTTTGTGTGGAGTTTGGAGTTTGTCTGTAGTTTGTAGCTTAGTTTATAGTTTTTCTGTAGTTTGTAGTTCTACAGTTCTACACTTTGTGTGTAGTTTGTGTGTAGTTTTTCTGTAGTTTGTGTGTAGTTTTTCTGTAGTTTGTGTATAGTTTTTCTGTAGTTTGTGTGTAGTTTTTTCTGTAGATGTTTGCAGCTTGTCTGTAGTCTGTCTGTAGTTTGTAGTTTTTCTGTAGTTTGTCTGTAATTTTTCTGTAGTTTGTAGTTCAGTTGTAGTTTGTGTGTAGTTTGTGTGTAGTTTTTTTCTGTAGTTTTTGTGTAGTTTGTAGTTCGGTTGTAGTTTGTGTGTAGTTTTTATGTAGTTTGTTTATAGTTAGTGTGTAGTTTGTAGTTTGTGTGTAGTTTATAGTTTGTATGTAGTTTGTAGTTTGTGTAGTTTTTCTGTAGTTTGTGTGTAGTTTGTAGTTTGTTTGTAGTTTGTGTAGTTTGTGTGTAGTTTGTAGTTTGTGTGTAGTTTTTATGTAGTTTGTGTGTAGTTTGTGTGTAGTTTGTAGTTTGTTTGTAGTTTGTGTAGTTTGTGTGTAGTTTGTAGTTTGTGTGTAGTTTTTATGTAGTTTGTGTGTAGTTTTTGTAGTTTGTGTGTAGTTTTTATGTAGTTTTTCCTGTAGTTTGTGTGTAGTTTGTGTGTAGTTTATGTGTAGTTTATGTGTAGTTTGTGTGTAGTTTGTGTGTAGTTTATGTGTAGTTTGTGTGTAGTTTGTGTGTAGTTTTTCTGTAGTTTGTGTGTAGTTTTTCTGTAGTTTGTGTGTAGTTTGTGTGTAGATGTTTATATTATAAACTCAGACTCTTATTCTCGACTCTTTCGTCCCAAATTTAAAGATTTAAAAATAAAAAATGAGACTTGAGTTGATCAAAGGTCAGTCAGTGCATGGCCCCGCCCCCTTTCCCCCTGGCCCCTCCCCCTCCGTGTTTCCCATGATGCCGAGCGGCTGCAGTGATTTACTGAGCCTCTCATCGATCGATGGAGCTGCAGATAAAAAGAGCTGAAATATTACCCAGCGTCCACCAGGAGAGAGGCCATGACTCAGGCCGTGTCCCCAGCAGCCCCCGACCCGCCTCTCCCCCAGACGCTTCCCCCCGCTCCCCCCAGCAGCCCCGACCGCACTCTCCCCAGACGCTTCCCCCCGCTCCCCCCAGCAGCCCCCGACCGCACTCTCCCCCAGACGCTTCCCCCGCTCCCCCAGCAGCCCCCGACTTCCCACTCTCCCCAGACGCTTCCCCCCGCTCCCCCCAGCAGCCCCCGACCGCACTCTCCCCAGACGCTTCCCCCCGCTCCCCCCAGCAGCCCCCGACCGCACTCTCCCCCAGACGCTTCCCCCCTGCTCCCCCAGCAGCCCCCGACCGCACTCTCCCCAGACGCTTTCCCCCGCTCCCCCCAGCAGCCCCCGACCGCACTCTCCCCCAGACGCTTCCCCCGCTCCCCCCAGCAGCCCCCGACTCCCCTCTCCCCCAGACGCTTCCCCCGCTCCCCCCCAGCAGCCCCCGACTCCCTCTCCCCAGACACTTCCCCCGCTCCTCCCAGCAGCCCCCGACCGCACTCTCCCCAGACACTTCCTCCTGGTCCCCCCTCTCCCCAGACACTTCCTCTTGTTACTCCTCCCTCTCCCCAGACACTTCCTCTTGTTACTCCTCCCACTCCCCAGACACTTCCTCCTGCTCCTCCCTCTCCCCAGACGCTTCCCCCGCTCCCCCCAGCAGCCCCCGACCGCACTCTCCCCCAGACGCTTCCTCCCCTCTCCCAGACACCTCCTCCTGCTCCTCCCTCTCCCCAGACACTTCCTCTTGTTGCTCCTCCCTCTCCCCAGACACTTCCTCTTGTTGCTCCTCCCTCTCCCCAGACACTTCCTCTTGTTGCTCCTCCCTCTCCCCAGACACTTCCTCTTGTTGCTCCTCCCTCTCCCCAGACACTTCCTCTTGTTGCTCCTCCCTCTCCCCAGACACTTCCTCCTGCTCCTCCCACTCCCCAGACACTTCCTCTTGT